GCAAACCCGGCCTGGCTGCCCCACCTCACCAGAGGCTCCGGGCACCGGTCCCCCTGCACCTGCTTGTTTTCCAGAGAATCTGCATGGAGGCAGGAGGCTCGGTGCGTCCGAGGCAGGCGTCACGTGTCACAGGCAGTCCCCTCCCAGCAGCCACCAGGCAGCACTTCCAGAGGTGAGACGTGTGATGTGCACCCCCTCCCCCCCCACTCGCTCTCCGAGGGGCGTTGGTTTGGAACCGTGACTCATTAACGCAGCCAGCGAGCAGGGGCTGGCTTCTCCGCACAAGCACTGCTTCCGACTAAAATTTCCACCCGTGTTTTTCACTGTCTGAACAAGTTCAAACATTGAGAAGATTGGTTTGGACGGGAGAGCGGAAAACCTCAGACCTGGAGCAGGGACGCGCCCGATGGTGGCCTCACGTGCAGGACATGGGGGGGGTTCTGGGGCCCACGACATGCTGAGGTGTTTGGACGGAGATTCACTCCGACGCTCGCTCCGACCGAGGAGGTGCAGGAGGCGCAGGGCTTCGGGCCCAGCTGGCCAAACCCTGAGCCCTGCGCGGCCCACACGGGAGCCGGTGATCCTGCCGTTTCGACGGGCTGCACGGGCCAAGCCGTCTGCGAGGGGTCAGCCTGACCTCGAAGCTCCACCACTGGTCCGCAGGTGACCCTGAGGGCGTCGCCTCTGTTCCATTGGCTGGACAGAGAAGGACGGCCACCTTGGCCCTCCTGCCCCTCCGGGTGGACACACTCGTCCTCATCCACGGCTGTGAGAACGAGGAGGAGGAGGGTCGGAGGGAGGCAGGGGCAGCGAGGCCAAATGGCCAGCAGCCCACCGGCCCCTCTGTCTCTCTGTCCCCACAGGGTCCCTTCTGCCAGTCCCTCTGCACCTGGTCCTCCCGAACCTGCGGGACCAAAGCTTGTCACCAAAGCTGTCAGGGCATCGAACCGAGCTGCTCACAGTGACACTGACCTCAGACATCCCTCCGGCCCTTCCCTGGCAGAGGTGACAGGGTGGCCGTGCTGAAGCCACACGACACCAGGCACTGGGTCCCTCCTGACTGGGGAGAGTGGTCAGCGGCGTGGAGAGAATGGGTCCCTTTGTCCCTGGTGGCTCCTGTCCGGGCCTGCAGGTGGGGCCGCGGGCAGTGGTGGCCGTCAGGGCAGGCGTGGTCCCTGCTGACCGAGGGCTCTCTGACCCCGGCAGCACAGTGAAGGACGCGCCCCCTGGAGGGAGAACCTCACACAAGGAATGTTCCAGGGGCAAAGAAAGACTCGCGCGGCTGTGCCTCAGATGCCTGGTGCTTTGCTGATCGCGTGTGATCGTGGTTACAGATACACTTCGGGGCTTTATCTGCCAGGGAGGGTACGTCACCCAGGACGCAGCGTGTCTGACACAGAGCCCCAAGATGCACACAGCGCCCCAAACGGAACCCTACGGCGTTAGTGCTGAACACGGATCTCCAGCCCCTTTCTCGGGGCTGTGTCCATGCGGACGAGTCTCAACTGCCAGTATGTTAAACAAGTCTGGTTCCCCGAACCCCGATCCCAGGACGTAAACCAACCGCGGGCAGACACGGCCCAGCTTCCTGAACGTTTCCCACGGTTTCACTCCCATGTGGCCCCGGACGGGAGGGTGGGCTCTGCACGGGTCACACGCGTGTTGCCCCGTAACCGTGCGTAGCGCCGACCGTGCTGACCTCGTCCCTCGCAGGGGAGACGGGGGAGGGGGCGTCACAGGGGAGGAAGGCACCGTGCGGGAGGCTGACCGACCGACGGAACGACAGGACTCGGGTGTGTAGCTCCTGTACAGAAAGATGGGGTGACCCCTGTTCGGCGGTGAGGTCAGGACACCAGCACGGTGTCGGGGTTTTGCCCTCACTCTCTGCCGGTTTCCAGCCAGAGCTGCCTCCGTGGCCCCGGCCAATTCCAGGGCCCGGGGACACCTTTCCTTGGGGGTCACAGCCCCCTGCTGGGCCTCGTGTGGGGACATACGTGCAGCTCAGCAGCAGCCACCAAACTGGTCACCAGGAGCCGCGTGCCTGGTGAGTGTGAGCTACACGCCTGTGTGACAGGAGACACGTCGGGACGTCACGCCCAGGACCTGCCCGGGTTCGGACGCTTGGGTGTGGCAAGCTGAGCTCACCCACTGCTGCGTGGTCCGTACGAGCCACCTGGGGGCGGGGGGCGCTCGGATGGGTCTTTTCCCTGATCAAGATGATACAGGGTGCAGCCGGGGGGGGCCCCCAAAGAAAGATTTGGAAGGGTGTCCGGAGTTCAAGGTGTATAGGAATATTGGAGAGACATATTAAGATGTCCTCACCCCCCCCCCACAGGGGGAGGGGATGAATGGAGCCAGGCCATTGAGAGCTGTTTTGCATAGCAACAGTTTTGCAGCTAACCTCTGGAATGATTATTTAACATATCTATAACCTTTAACTGGTTTCATGGATATGTTAAATAGCAGTGGCCAAGTTTGGAGCCAGGGAGAAGGGAGAAGGAACTGGAGGGACTCAGGATGGAACTAGCAGGGACTCAGGATGGAACTAAGGGGACTCAAGATGGGAACTAAGGGCTGCTCTCCTGAGTGAGTGGACTGGGACTCAGGAGAATGTAACTAGGAGCTGCACTCCTCCTGAGTGAGAAGGGAGTAGCAGGGACTGAGAATGGAACTTAGGACTCAAGATGGGAACTAAGGGCTGCGCTCCTGAGTGAGAAGGGCTTGAGGACTCAGGGGGCTGCGCTCCTGAGTGAGAAGGCCTGGGAGAGAGAGCCACGCGGTTTCAGCAGAGTGAGGACCCCCTCTTGGTGAGGTGAAAGAGGGAGCCACGTGGCTTTGGCAGGGTGCGGACCCCCTCTTTCCCAGGTGAAAGGGGAAGAACCACGCAGCTTTGCCAGAATGGAGATCCCTGCAGCCAGGTGAAGAGGACAGCCACATGCTTTTGGTGGAGTGCGGACTCCTGCAGCTTTGGTGGAGGAGGCCCACGCGGCTTTGGGGTGCCCCCTTTGGCCGCGGGGCCTGGAAAAGCAAGAGAGACTGACTGGAACTGGGTGCAGAGGACTCTTGCCAGTGGACCATGAGAGGGTACCACAGTACTTTGGATTAACTCGAGATCCTGCACAGTGACACAGCTGACGGTGCCAGCAGCCTGCAACACAGACGTGTGCTCTTTTCCTGAGTTACAGTACCCAGAGTTGGGACAGTGGGAGAAGGGAGCACTGTGTGGGTGTAGGTGTATACCCTAAAGGACTTTGATATTTTAGTGGTGGCATTAGGCCTGAATAGCATTGAATAAACATTTTGTTTCCTTTTCACAAATCTCTGGCTTTAAGAGATGTCTTTCCAATTGGCGGCGGACAGAAGGGCCCAGTAGACATCAGTATTTTGTTTTCGGGAGGGGCCCCTGTTGTACAGCAGTTTTGGGCATCCCTAGGTGGGCCAAATATTGTATTGCCCCTCCCTCGGACCACCACCTGTTGTTCAGTAACAAAGACTCCGCTCGATCCAGTAAAGGTGAGAGAAAAGACTCCCCAAGTTTTTGAGGGGAGCTTCTCACCTGGCTGCGTCGGGAGACAAGAAACACCCTCCTGCCCACCTCGGCTGACGGTCGGGGGCTGCTTTTCAAACACGGACCTGCCGAGACCCTCGGCCCGGCCGCTCACCCCGCACCCCCACCTTCTCCCCCCCACTCTCGTGGCCCCTCCCCTCGCAGACCTGCTGTGTTCCCGGGAACCAGGGGCAAGGGCCTGCTGGAGGGGTGACTGCCCCAACCTGGGGGAGAAAGAAAGACTCAGGCACAGGCCACGCTGGCCTAACCCTGGGTTTCCCCCAAGAAGGAGGGGCAGACACGCACTCCCCTGGCCCGCCTGTCACGTCCCAGGTGCACTCACAGCTGTGGCTGCGCCGTCCCCGGGGCGCCTGCCTTTCCCAGGCTACGTACGTACTTGGGGGAGGGGGAGGGGCTGGAGCAGTAAACAGCTGTGACACAGCTTCCTTCCCCGAGAGATGATCCCAGACCATCTTTCCCAGAGTTAAAAAAATGTATCGTCTTTGTGTTACCATGGAGACTTTAGTAACAGTGATTTTTTTTTTCCTTTTCCTTCCCCCCACCTTCCCCCTAAATTTAAAAACATCTCCAAAAGAGTTCCAAGAACTTTTCTAGGGCAATTTTGATGCGTTGGTTTTTCAGCAGAGTGCGTTCCTTTTCGTTGTGTTCACAGGTTCGAAGAGGTTGGTGTGTGTCCACGGCTTGGAATTCAAACTCATGTCCACGGGCCTACGTCCCATATCACTGTCACCGTTCACCTGGAGGGCACCCGCCCTCCACCCCCTTCACAGCTGCCCTCGGGGGTCTCCCGCCTCTGCCTCCTGGGTCCCCCCTGCGAAAACCGACCCCACAAGCCCTCCCGCCGCCGGTGAACCCGGTCGGCCTGTGTCTCCGTAAGGCCGCCCCTCTGGGTGAGCTCCGTGATGTCCAGCTAATTCTCTGGGCGTTTTCAAACACGTAGCCCTTTCCAATAGTGTGAATAAAGCATTCCCATTTTTAACTAAGTCAAACATTTTCTCAAAAAATCTTGGCATCCAGGGAAAAATAAGGAACCCGGGTTCTTGGATCCCAGCACCGCCGGCGGCCCTGGCTGCTGGGGCCGTGGGGCTGGGAGGGGTGCCGGGAACCCCCCACTGCCGGGCAGCTGTGTGGGTGGTTGGGGTGTGACCGGGCCTGGCTGCCCACGGGACGTGGACGGACTGACCCCGAAGTCCCGCCCCCGAGCAGAATGCAAAGTGGACGCCCAGGTGCGGACGCCACTCAGCCTCTGCAGTAACTAGAATTGGGGAGGTCCAGGAACCCTCCTGCGTGTCCGCCGGACGAACACCGGAAAGGAATGGCTCCCCTCTCCTTCTCCTTAGGAAGTAACCGGGGAAATGGGCCGCGGCCTCGGGGAACCAGGAGCGGGGGGAGGGAACCAAGACCCAGGAAACCGAGACTGGACAACGAGACCTTCCGCCAAAACAGCTCAGGGTTTTATTCGTCCTCAGGAACACTCTCTTTTTAATTTGCTCAGCTGCCTCGTCTTCCTCACCCTCGTCCACGGTTCGCTGTGATTCTCCTTATTACTAAACCAGGCAAATAGCGACCTCACCTGAACACATCTACTCGTGCTACGAAGACGCCCTAGAGACACTACAACAGAGTTAAAACTGTGAGCTGTGAACAGCGCCGTGGCCAGCAATGAGCCGTGCGAAGCGGGTGGGGGTGAGTGTGCGTGGGGGTGACGCTTTACCAACACGGGCGGAGCGGGGGGGGGTCGGGGGTTGCGGGACGGTCACGTTCCTTTGGGACACGCAGGGACCTTTAACGCTGCCCCTCGCTAGGAAGCCCAGTGGGCCGGCAGGTCACATTTCCCCCGAGATGACTTCCTGTCTCTCACGATCGTCACGTACCGAACACGCAGCGTCACGGTGCGGTTCCCCGGCTCAGCCCCCTGCCCTCTAGACTGTGAGGTCAGAAACAGCGGTTTTGTTTTTACACTCGAGTTAAAAGTGTCAGCATTTTACCCTTACACGGACTTAAAATAGCGGGGCCGCTGAAGCTTTGGGCCCACGCACTGGAGGCTCAGACATGTTTACAAAAGAGCCCCGCTGTCAATCTCAGGTCATTGACTGGATGCAGAGTTTGGCGACTTGGTGGGGTGTCTGGGGGGGCAAAGGAAGAGTCGATGTCAGTTGTGTTCAGATGGATTAACACGGCACATTCATGGGGCCTGGCTTCTGACCTCCGCCTCCATGAAGATTCTCTAAGGGGCAGAACAATATTGTAAATGATTTGCTTAGGAAACCGGGGAGTGGCTGCCTCCAAAAATGTTCACCACCGTTTACAACCAAGGTCAGAAATACCCAGGCCGATGATGCCCCCGGTCCGCAGTGAAAACCACAAATGAGGCCAACTCCTCTCACTGGCCGTCGGGCCCCCACAGCCCCGTCCCCTGTCCAACCAACCTCGGGTGACCTGTGACCTAAACCGAAGTCCCCTGGGTCGGGGGCCTCACACACGCCTGTTTCCTTGCTTGGGGCAGAATCTCCCCGGGATTCTGAGCGGGGTTTGACCACAATGTACTGAGTAGAGCTTAATCATGAGTCGGGGCGGGAAGGAGAAGCCGGGAAAGGACATCTGTCAGACAATAACCGTCCCACACCGCGCGGGCCGTGCGAGGAGGCAACCGCCAGGGTCCCCCGTGTGGGTGTCTGGGAGCGAAGCCGGGAAGGGGAGGCGGGTCGTCCGTTGGGGACGCCACCGGGCGGCCTCGGAGGAGGCACTCACGGTCGCCCCGGCTACTTGAGGAGCTCCTGGAAGAGCTCGGAGCGCACGAAGCGGGGCAGCGAATCCTTCTCCATCAGGGCGCGCACTCGCTGCTGCGCCACGTCGAAGCTGCTCAGGGAGGGCTCCGCCAGGCTCCTCACCGTGAGGTCCTTCGTGAAGTGGTCGATGTTCACCTGCGGGCGGGGCAGCGGGGCCGCGATGAGCGAGGGTGGGAGGTGAAATTTCTCAGCGACAAAGCACACGACCCCGGGGGCTGGGGGAGTGACAGACTGAGGACTGTCGCCCAGGCCGGGCGGCTTGGCGGGTGGGAGTGTGGTCCTGTGCACCTTAAGGTTGTGGGTTCGATCCCCGGTTGGGGCACGGACGGGAGGCAGACGATTAATGGTGCTCCCTCACATCGATGGACCTCCCTTTCTTTCTTTTTCTAAAATCCACAAACATATCCCTGGGTGACGATTAAAAGCAGAAGTGAGAGCTAACATTGATACTTTCCAGGCCGGGGGCAGCCACTGTTGACTCCGGTTAAGTGTGTGACTCGGGTTAAGACGCAGCCAGTGAAAGGCGGGCACTCGGTGCCAGAGTCCCCTGGCTGCAGACGCACGTGAGCCTCACTGACCCCTCTGGACCCGGAGACTCAGACTTTCCTTCTAACGGGGAAGGGAAAACGCAGACACACGCGTATCAAGGTGACGTGGCTTCCCCAAGGTCGCAGAGCCAACGGGCACGTTGAGACCAGAGCCCCAGACTTTGAATCCAGGAGCGAGTGCATCGCGTAGCTCAGAGGATGCAGGCCAGGCCGCACGTGAGCGCCCACGGCCCCTCGAAAGGGGGCCGCCGTTTGCTGGGGCTGGAAACTCAGCCAGGATTTTGTCTGCTTTGCAAGGCCATTCTCAGTGTCTCCTCATTTCGGGACAACGCCAGTGTCTGAGGAAGGAGCCCCGAGGACCGCGTCTTCCTGGGGCGCAGACCAGCGAGCCCGTCACCCAGACGGGCGGCTGCCACGCCCAGAGAATGCAGTGAACCCCAGAGTTCCAGGAAGGGGAACCGGCTTGGGAGGAAATAATCCCTGCACATCCTCGTGATTTCCTCGCTAACATCACAAACAGAGACTCGTGGTGGCAGAGACAGGGGGGCCCAGCACCATGGCCTCAGGAACAGGGGAAGCGGAGGGGCAGAGGAGGAGGCCGGAGAGGGTCCCAGGTCAGTCTCCTCCACAGCAAGGCTGCGCCCAGGTCTCTGGGGGGCCCTCACCTTCTCCACCTCGCCCTCCGCCTCCCACCAACGGCTCCGCGTCGGGGAGCGCGCCCCCTGGTGGCGGACAGGTGTATAGTTCGTCTGCATAAATTGGTAACCAGAGTCTGGAGAGCCTAAGAGAGAACAGGCGCGCTGTGGGGGTGGGGGGTCCCTCTCACACCACGTCCGAGGTCAGCTCCTGCCCATGGGGCTTGCTCAGACCCCTCCTGGCCTGACCCCACATCTCCTGAAACACTCAACGCCCAGAGGGGTCTATGGGGCACCGTGGGCACAGTGACCAAAACCTCGTGAACGGCTGGCTTCTGCGGTGGCCGTCCGGAGGCCCCCGGAAGGCTTTCCGACCCCTCTTCCATACACAGCAGAGGGCGGCTAGGCCGCCCCAAGGCTTCTTTGAAGTCGACGCCCACCTCGTCTTTAGTAACCCGTCAGTGGGATCCCGTCTCCCAGCCCCTCCCGCCCTGTGCCGTCTGGGGCCACGCGGACTTCTGTGAGCAGGGACCCTGCCGTCCCACCCAGAGAGTCAACGGCAGAGGCCCGGGGGGAACCAAAGGGGGGCGAGGGGCGCTGAGGGATAGAAGGAATTCCAGGAAAGGAAAGGGCGGGGGGGAGGGGAAGAGGCAGGTGAGGGTGGGAATACTCATTAGCGTTAACTAGTTCAGACACGGACGCACCCACTGTGTAAGTCCACCCCTCCGCCTGCGGGACCGTCTTCCCGTCCCCATTTTCACCAAAGTGGGAAGTCACGGGGCTCAGAGAGACTCACAAATCCAGCCCAGACGGCACGACCTGCGATTCCTACCTGCTGCCGCACGGGGCCCCACGCTGCGGGCCCAGGGTGGGGGCAGGGGCAGGTTCGCACCCACGCGGCCACGCTGCCTGCCTGTGCACCCGGCAGGTGTCCCGACCCGCGGGGCAGGGGTGAGTCCTTTTCCGAGGGGTGGCTGCTGCCCACCGCCCCCTCCAGGGCCACGCCCTCCCGCCGGCCCCTCGGAACCAACCTCCTTGGGGGCCTCGGCCCGGATGAACTCTTCATAAATCTTCTTCGCCTTCTCCGCTATCTTGTCCGGGGACCTGGTCTTCTTGAAGTCCTCGCAGGCCATCCAGAACTCCAGGTTCTCCTCGCTGAACTCCGACTTCAGGAAACTCTGGAAGCTGGCAAGTCCGTCTAGCGAGGAGAACGGGGAGAAAGGCCGAGATAACACAGATACGTCTGTCTGTCTACGTGTCTGTCTGTCCACCTGCCCGCCGATCACTGCAGCCTGCCGTGCGGCCTGGGCTGGCTCACTACGTACTGATGTCCTGTCACTGGCTGAAGAACCTCACAGAGTTCCCTCCTTTCCTTCCCCTGGAAAACCGAAGAGGCAGGTGTGACTAATGCCCTACTTTACAGGCGGGGGCAGGGAGGTCACGTGACCTGCCCTTCCCTCCTGGGCGGGTGGGAGGCAGAGCCGGGCCCAAACCGGAAGGCCGTCTGTCTGCAGGTGAGGGGGCCTCAGGGCGCTGTGGCCAGGAGTGGGTACTTGCTAATTTTGGATTTCAAGTAGGAAAAAAATACATGTAACACTCGGCTTGGGAGTGTAAACGAGCGTTGATTATTGTGTATAAATGACTTACAGTTCGGACTTCCGCCAAGATGGAGGTATAGGTGGATGTGCCGTGCCTTCTCACACAACCAAGTTTAGGGACAACCAAATATTAGCACCAGAGAACACAACCAGAACACGGAAAATTGAATTTTTCGGAAGTCCGTTAACAACAAATTCTTCAGCCCGACCGGTAAGGGGCGAAACCGGCGTCTCGTGAGGAGTTGCACGGAGGGCTCCGGTCGGACGGACCCAGGCGCGGAGTCCAGACGCGCGAATCCAGACGCACGGGTTCCAGGCCCAGGGTTGGACCTAGTGAACGACCGAGCAACCCACCGGGTGAAAGACTGCTGAGGAGACAGTGGGGAGGTGGTGCTGCGTGTTGACTGCGGTTGCCTGTCTGCGGGCGAGCGGACGGGCGAGGGAGTGGGCGGTTGGACCAGCCACGGTGGGTAAAGGGCGCCGCCATTTCCCCGCTCTGACCACGCCCCCACATATAGCGTCACAACCCAGCGACCTGGGAGTCCAAGGCGCCGCTTCTCACATTTAAAGGGCCAGAACAGACCTAAAATGTCACAGGAAGACCTCAAAGCCCCAGAGATAAATCTAAGCGACGAAGAAATAGCAAAACTCTCAGACGCACAGTTTAAAACACTGGTCATCAGGATCCTAACAGATCTGGTTAACTATAGCCACAAATTAGAGAAACATATGAAGGCTAAACTAAGGGAAATTAATGGAATTCCACAGGAAACCCATAGAGATGAAAAGGAAACTGGGACTCAAATCAATGGAGTGGACCAGAAGAAAGCGAATAATGGCCAAACAGAAAAGAGTCAAGGAGCAAGAATTCAAAGAAATGAGGGAGAGTCTTAGGAACCTCCAGGACATCTTTAAACGCTCCAATATCCGAATTATAGGGATACCAGAAGGGGGAAAGACACAACCACCAATGGAAAAATTATTTGAACAAATAATAAAAGAAAATTTCCCCAATCTGGCAAAGGAAATAGACTTCCAAGAAATCCAAGAAGCTCAGAGAGTACCAAAAAAGTTGGACTCAAGAAGAAACACACCAAGGCATATCATAATTACATTAGCCAAAATTAAAATGAAGGAGAGAATCCTAGAAGCAGCAAGAGCTAAGGGGACAATCACCTACAAAGGAGTCCCCATCAGACTGTCAGCAGATTTCTCAAAAGAGACCTTACAGGCAAGAAGGGGCTGGAAAGAGGTATTCCAAGTCATGAAATCTAAAGACCTACAACCAAGATTGCTCTATCCAGCAAAACTTTCATTTAGAATGGAAGGACAGATAAGGTGCTTCTCAGATAAGATCAAATTCAAGGAGTTCATCATCACCAAGCCCTTATTATATGAAATGTTAAAGGGACTTATCTAAGAAAAAGAAGTTAAAAAAACATGAACAGTGAAAGGACAACAAACGCACAGTTATGAACAACCACACCTAAAACGAAAGCAAACTAACAGGACAGCTAGATCAGGAGCGAAATCATAGAAATGAAGATCTCAAGGAGGGTTAGCAACAGGGGAGTGGGAGGAGGAGATGGGGGGAGAAGGTACAGAAAATAAGTAGCATAGACAGTTGATAGAAAATAGATGGGGGGGGCAAGAATAGCATGGGAAATATAGAACCTAAAGGACTTGAGACACATGGACATAAACTAAAGGGGGGTAATGGTGGGGATGGGGGGCAGGGTGGAGGGGAATGAAGGGGGGAATAGAACAACTGTAACAGCATAATCAATTAAAAAAATAAATTTAATTAAAAAAATAAAAATAAAAATAAAATTAAAAAAAAATAAATGACTTACAATTCTTTTTTTTCTTTCTACGGGTGATTTCTGAGCAAATCAGGCCCTGCGATGGGTCATAAGTAAGTGACATAAACGAGGCCCTGCCTGATGGAGTGGACAGGCTGTGGGGGGCAGAAGGAAAACGACCACACGAAACACATGTGCACAACAAAGGAACCAGCGGGAGAAAACCAGCGACAGAGGGACAGACAGATAGACAGATAGATAGATGGACAGATGGGAAGAAAGGCCCTCGCCTGCCTCCGGGAGGAAGTGACCTCGGACTTCAGCCCTGAAGGACGCAGTGGGAGGGGCCTGAGGCCGAGAGCACACCAGGGGAGGCTGTGCCCACCAGTTACACATTGGTTCTAAAACAAACTGAATTCACCCTGGCTGGGGTGGCTCAGTGGATTGAGCACCAGCCTGTCAACCAAAGGATTGCCGGTTCGATTCCCAGTCGGGACACATGCCTGGGTTGAGGGCCAGGTCCCCAGTAGGGGGCGTGTGAGAGGCAACCACATGTTGCTATTTCTCTCCCTCTCTTTCTCTGTCCCTTCCCCTCTGTCTAAAAATAAATAAATAAAACCTTTAAACAAAATAACACGGAGTAAATTCAACACGGTTGTAGCTACTCTGACCCTGTGTTCCGTTAGCCCTGTGGCTGGAAGCTCCCACTGTTAGGTGAGGAGTCGCTGGCTGAGGGCGCGGGGAGGCGCTGGAGGGAATATAGGGGAACCCTGTACACTCTCACCGTTTCCCCCCTTTCCAAGTCGACTACGTCTCTCTCTCTGCACTAACATGTCTTAGCACTGAAATTCTAATGAATCGGTACCTACATAGAGAGAGTCACTTCCATTTCTTATCTAAGGGTGGAGGGAGGCTTCCCGGGGGGGGAGAGAGAGAAGGGACAGGCCTGCTTCCTCCTGCGGGTCTGCGTCTCAGCGTTTCTGAGTCAGAGCCCCCGGCACCTCCCACCCGTCTCGCTCACCCCGGTAAGAGCTTCTGTCCCCTCGAAGCCCCAAACCTCTGCACACAGGGCCCTGAGCGTCGCTGTGGCTGAAACGAACTGTGTGAGGGGACATAATTATATCTCCTTCTCCTTCACGGCCTGAACACCTGGGACCAGTCCTGCTGATTCTCAGGCTTCTTGACAGCAATGAACACCTGGCCCAGGGTCCTCAGAGCTCACCGTGGGTCAGTGTCACCTGCCAGGTGGCTGTTGGCCCCAAACCTTCTGTTAGACAGTGAATAAGTCACTCAACAAACACCAATACCGTTCTCTGAGTGAACCTCATGGAATTCGGGGCTCGATAAGCAAAATGAATTTGTTTGTCATACACTGAGTCAGTGAACATTGATCAGATGTGTTACATGTGCCAGGGCAGGGTCTCTGTTTAGCACAAAAAAACCCTGAAGAGGATAAAAAATGGGTGATTGAGAAAGTTCCAAAAATGGAGGCGTCGGTGTTCTGCCTCCGAATGTCAGATACCCAACATCCTGCAGGGAGGCAGACGCCGACCCAGCGGAACAATTAAAAAATGTCCGTATGATTTGAACACACATTGCTTGTTATCTACTCCGGGCTGATTGGTCTTGAAGATCCTGTGAGAACTTCACCACAAGAGTTCACATTCCATTTTTGGGGTGAAGATGGAGAGATATGGGGTGGATGTCTTAAGTAGAGTCATTTTTTTTAGTGTGAATTCTTCAACAAATATTTATTTTCCCCAAACCGTGCACTTCCTGTTGTGAAATTTTCTGGATCAAGAAGACCAAGTCCCGGAGGCCAACCGAGTCTGTAGCTGGAGGAAGTCGATTTATAAAGAGAATACTAAGTAGCAAATAGTACAAAGTTGCAAGTATTGAGCAGCACAATCAATGTGCAGACAAATGTCTCAGGAAGCTCAGAGGGAGGAAGAAGGACCAGACACTTAGTATTTACATCAGCTTTCATAGCGCAGGGAGACTTCCACAGAGACCTGAAGTCAGAGCACATACAAGAATCACTCGACCAATGCATAGATAAGTAGAACCACAGACCAACATTTCTCTGTCTAAAGTCAATCAATCAGTAAAACAAACAAAAAATCCAGACAGAGGGCGGGAGGGCAGTTCATTGTGACAGCTGACCGGCCCGCCGTTACTATGGAGACTCTAGGGTATCGGGGGTTGGCGTTTGACACAGGTGGCCCCGGAAATACCAAGGGCTATGGGTCAGGGGAGAGGTGGGTTCAGGTGTCTTGGCGTTGACCTGGAAAGGCATCTCACTGGCAGTTTTGTCCGGTCTTGAGTGAAGCCACGACATGCGTGCTGCCAGAAGAGCAGACTGGGGCCACGAAAGCAGCAAACACGCCTGCTGGCCAGGGCATCACGGCGTCTCACTGACCCATCGCGAGGACCAGCCCAAAGGGGCAGGGTCACTGTTACACATGGAGATATTATCCTGCGGAGGTTGCGGCTGATCTGAGAGATACAGACAAACTCTTTTCTTAAATGTTGTTACGTGCATTGGGCACACAGGTTCAAGGCCGTGGCTAGCTGAGCGTTCAGCCCTAACGTGGCAGCCGTCAGCTTGCTCACAACACGTCCCTTGTTAGGGTGCGTGATTTTCTACAGTGCACGCTATCTGGGAGATACCATGAACTCTGAAGTCTGTGTTGCTGCGGCAGTTTTTTCATGAACTTCGAAGTCAGTGTTGTGGGTTTTTTCCCCTCATTTACTGTTGAAAATGGCTAGAAAAATATATCAATGGGATAATCCAAGAAATGCTGAGAAAATCCAGTGAGTGCTACTGGAGTCGCTTATCAAAATAGCTTTGCAAGAGTCCAGAGAAGTATTCATGCTGCGGGCACAGCTGCATGTCTGCGGAGCTGATGCAAACGTTTGCAAAGCCAGTTACTGAAGATTCTGATTAATTAACGTTGAAGACCTTTTTTGGTTGCATATTTTAGCAATATCCACATTTCCATTATGTGAAAAGAAAAAAATGCATTTTATATGTTTTTACATTTGTTGAATAACTTCTAAACTATAACTGAAAATAAATGAAAACTGTGTATTTTATTACATAAATACGTGCAAATTTGCAGTGTTTTGAGGTTTTTCCTCGTATTTCAGCACCTACTAGTAAGGAACACATCTCTCAGATACACGTGCCCGATGCAGTAATTTTTGGGGAGCACGTGGGTCAGGACACAGGTGCCCCCGTGGACGGGCGTGGGCGTGGCCTGTAAGCCTGAGTCCCGGCTGTCCTGTCCTCCCGCCACCCCCCCCCCCGCAGCAGCTTCCCCAGTGGAGGCCACTTTGGAACACTGGGAAATGCCGGCGTCATGACGACCGGTCGGACTCACAGTTGTTCTGCAGCAGCTTGTCCAGGGAGTCCCGCCACTGGAGAGCTTCCCCCGGGGCAGGCCTGTGACGGGGGGAGACAGAACAGGGACAGCGTTAGAGGGAGCTGGACGCGGACAACGCCGCGGACCCGCTTTGCACAGCCCCCCGGAGTGCGCACGCGCGCGCACACACACGAGAACCACCCCACGCAGGAGAGCCACAAGCACGAGGGGGACTGACAGCCGGGACGGGACAGAGGGGCTGGGTCGGCTGCTTCGTACGTCTTCCCCTCTCTCTGGACGACTTGGCTTGGTGGGGCCCCTTCCAGAAGTGGGGTCTATTTGGGGGGAAGCTGCGTGTGACATTCTGGTAGAGACCGTGCCCGTGGCTCCTGTTGTGGGTTTTTTCCCCCTAAATGGGCCTGAGTGAAGTCGGGCCCACCCCACCCTCCACCGAGTCCTCAGAGCGCTCTGACGCCGCGCCCACCACCTCTCCAGCGAGGCTGCTGGAGGTCGGAATGTGTGCTGGGGTGAGTCTTCATTCTTAAAAATCTGACTGCATCTTTCTCGCCCAGGTAGCACAGGCTGGTGACCTGTCACAGACCCTCGGCTTCCTAAGGAGCAAGGCGGTTCTCAGTGGAGAACAGGGCAGTCGTTCGCCAAGGGTCCAGACTCCACTGCGAGGGGAGGGTGGGGGCCACCCGACCAAGGCCCCTGCGCTGCATTTCTTCGAAGGCTCGAGCACTCAGTGCCCTGCGGCCCCCCCAGTTACCGCCCATTTCTCCCCGCCCCCCCCGCCCCCCCAGGCCAGGGCACCTCGGGCAGGGCTGTCGGGGAGCTCGGCTGGCGGTGCCGTCAGGGCCGACCTGCTCACGCTGGGACGTGACTTCTTCATCGTCACCTGGACACAGACTAACGAGGCCTCCATCAGAACAGTCAGGCCAACAAAGACGTTTCTCCGAATCGGACTTTCTGTGGCTCTCATTTATTTACTTACTGTTCAGACAGAACAGGAAAAGCCCTGCTTCTGGGTTTTTGAAAAAACAACATCTTAGGGCTCTAACTAGACAGAGGAGAAGCAGCACCTGGTGAGGCGCCAGGCGCCAGTCCTGCCTGCGTTTCCGTAGGTGGTGGCGGCCCCTGCGTTCTGGGCGGGAGTCCCGTGCGTCACCGGTTCTCACTTCCATCTCGTGACAGAACACACAGACCTGGAGACCCAGTCCCATGACTAACACTCCACGAAGCGTCAGGTTTACTGTGTGACGGTCACACACGCCAGACGGAGGGTGACGATGGAGGTGAAGTGCCGCAAGGCGCTCAGGTGTCCCAGGGCAAAACCGCAGCCCCGGTCCTTGGGAACTTAATTCCACTGATGAACTGCCTTCCCCGCCCAGGGCAGGCAGCGCAGGAAGAGAAAGGATGAGCTTACGAGTGTGTCCCTTCATTTTCTGCCTCATTCTACCGCTGCCCAGAGAAGGCCCCGATTCCCTGGGCTCCCACACTTGTCCCGGCTCCTCCGTGTTGCCCCGAGAACTCGTCCTGGTCCGTGCTCTTTCGTGGCTACGTTTCTGGTGCTGGCCTCACACACCTTCAGGGCCAGGGCTTGGACTTTTGCGCGTGACAGACGCCGCCACGTCCCTGTTGATCACCAGCAGATACCGCAGGACTGAAATCTCTACGTGAAAGAAGCAGGCCGGCGTCCCGCCCTGAACCTCTGATTTTATAAGTGTTCTCGTGAAGTCACCTTCCCCGTCCTTCTCCCATGGTGGCCCCAGTCGGGCACAGGAACAAGAAATGCCACTGACAGGTGCACCCGCCTCAGACTTGTCCCCGAGTCCAATCTGTCCCTGAGTGAGCGTCTGGGAGAACCAGACTAATGCTCACTGTCGGGGGCACATCACAGCCCAGATTCGATTCTTGAAAGCACGCGTGCACCGCCCGCTCGGGGACTAATTAGTCCAAACCGATCCCAGGACACGGTCGAGCAAGACGCGGCTGGTGGCGGCGGGAGGCGGGGTGTCTGAGGCCCTCCTCAAGCCTGACCTCCCTCTTCCGGGGCCTGGGTGCTGACAGCCACGAGCAGCCCCCGACTTGGACGTGAATGTGCTCAGCCCCGGAGCCATCCCCTCTCTGACACCGAGCGGCTGTGACCGTGGAAATGTGCGCCAGCCTCTCGGAGCACTTGGGGGGGGGTCTCTGTCCTCCTTAAACAGCTGCATGGTCCCCGCATCTACCTGACACTTCTGGTATAGTCCCCACATGCCCTTGCTCTCGGCCCAGGAGGCAAAATGCCAGCCCCTCACTGGCACCTGCAGGCATCCAATCTGCCCTTGCTTCCCCCCCACCCCCGCAGAGCGAGGGGGTCTCAGATCCATGGACGCAGAGCCCCTACCTGTGACCGACAGGGACCGGGCACCGGGGAGGGACGCAGACGCGAACACCTGCCACGCACACCTGCCACTGTCTGCGGCCCAGGTGGCCTGGCCAGACGCCTCTCCCCTCACTGCGCGGCTGGCCATGTGGCCGACAGTCACAGGGCTGCGGAGACGCTTCCGACCACCCGGCCCGGGACTGCCCACGCGTGGGGTCACCCGGGTGTAGCCGCTAAGAGGTAAAGTGAGGACACACAGCGGAGCCCTAGTTAGCGGTGTGGCGGGGAGACGACAGAATAGAATGCACAGGGAGAACGTCTCTGCCGGCCCCCAGCAGCTCGCCCTGCGGGCGGGAGGCCACGGAAACAGTGCCTGCGAACCAGGTCTGCGCGGCTCACTCATCCGTGTGCTGTCTGTCACGAGGACCTGCGGCCAAGTCCACGGGCCGTCCCCAGGGGACCCAGGACAGCGGGCGAGGAGGACAGGCTGAGGTGGCCCGCAAAGGCTGGGGACCAGCTGAGGGCGAGGCCTGTGAGTGGGCCGCATCTCAGTGCTGGGGCTGGGAAGCTGGAGCAGGGGCCCTCCACGCACAGAGCTCTCCAGCAGGAGAGGGCGGGGGCGGGGGTGGGCGCGGAGGGGCCCAGGGGCTGGGACAGTGTGGGTGTGAGCACTGGTCTGTTCCCCTGGGGCCGGGAACAGAGGGGCCACCTCCCCCGGCCGCTCCGACCCAGGCAGGGAGGCTGGTTGGGTGGTACAGACGGAGGCAACACCTCTCTACTTTTTCCATGGTTCTATTTTTTTTCCTAATGAGAAGAATAAAAATATATTTAAAAACCTAGAATACTCTTTAAAAAGAGAACTGCTTTTTTTTTTTTTTGGAAAGATAAAAGGGGTTAAAAATACCTCCTGGCTGCAGAGGGTTCATTCTATCCTCTGAGGTTTGTTTTCATGAATAAGAAGCAGCACAGAGGAATTTTGAAGTGGGGACCAGGGAGGTCGTCGAGCTGGCCTGGACCATGGTCCCCGCTCGTCAGCCCGAGAGGCTGGGAAACCTGCCCAGCAACAGGCGGTGGGCGGCCGGGGGGCCGGGGATGCGTGGGAAAGCACCGTGGACGCAGTCCCCAGGGGCGTGAGGAGTTTTCCAAAAACAATTCCAACCTCTGCAAGAAGAACTGGAAGGCAAGAAAACACTCCAGTAATAGCCCCAGGTTTCCTTCCCAAACTGCTTCTCCCTGAGCCCCTGCGGCCCCCAGGAGTCCGAGTGTCCCTGGCAAGCCCTCGGGGAGTGCGCTCCCGGATTCACTGGGGAAGGGAACCGCAGGGGACCGGCCAGCGTCGCGCCGCCTCCAAACAGACTCTCTGACCCGTTAAAACGTTAAAACGGGTCTCCTCCTCCTGGTGGCCGCACCCCACCGGGATCAGCGTCCCCTTTCTGAGGGCGGAGAACTCAATTACGCCTCCCTTCTGGCGGGGGGTGGCTTTGAAGTAGTAAAAACGGGAGAGTGGAAATAGCCCCTTGGACGCATGGAAAAAGGATGAACAAAGAGTGACCCATCTGTCTCCCAACCAGGCCACTCTGTTAAGCACAAGGTCGTCTGTCTGTTCAGAAACAAAATGAGTCAATTTATACACATTGTTAAATCTAAAAGGAAATGGAGGTTAAACGGGGTTCCTCTGTTTTTGCCCCACTCCTGGGGTCCCCTCCAAGCTTCTGGGTTGGGGAGGCGGCTTCTCCCCTTCCACCTTCCTCCCGGGCCTCGCAGGGAAGACTAGGTGTCACTGTCCCACCAGGGACGGGCTGTGCAGAGGCCAGCGGTGTGGACGCTGGGAGTCCTGCCGTTAAGTCGGGTGGAGCCAGGCCCGAGGGTGGGCTGAGCTCCCCGCCTCCCAGCTCAGTGTTTAGAACCTCGGTTCCCCCCTAAACGGACGGGGGTGCGTGCGGGGAGCTGGGGGTGAGGCACAGCGCAGAAGCCCTGTCGTCAGAAATTCCGATTTACGGGCCGGGGGGAAATTGCTGGATTTGCATTGATCTGAAATAGCAGGTCCAGGGCTCATGCCTCTGGCCGGGAACAGTCCTTGTCCCCCTGTGGGACCGGGAGACGCAACATCTTGGGGAAGAAACCGAGGGGTTAAATGGCCTGCCCCGACCCGGGCATCTTCCTCAAGGGGGTTTGCCCTGGTGCGTCCCTGCCGGGGAGGGCGAGGCTCGGAGACCTCTGGCAGGTGCGCACTGTGGTCCCCTTTAATTGGGTCACAGGTGGTCACCCGACCCCAGAGCAGCAAGCGACCAGGGGACAAGGTGGCTGGTGCCACCTTTTAAGGTTTGGTCCATCTCTCCACGAGGTCCCAAGGGGGGCCTCCCCTTTACTTTGCAGTATCCAGCCTACGTGCAGACTTACGCTCCAGACCCAGAGTGGAGATTGATGCTTAGGTGGCAGCAGTTTCGGGGGGCCCTGAGCTCAGTGGGCAGCCCGAGGGGTCTGGGGGCTGGGGGCTGACCCACACCCACGACTCACTTCTGGGCCTTGGCTGGCTTCTCCGCCTTCTCCGCCTTCTCGTTGTACGGGATGATGAGGTCGACGGCCGAGTCTGGCTTCTGCAGCAGTGTCCCCAACTTGATCTTAATCTCCTTGGCCCTGGAAGAAGAGACAGAGGGGACAAGGGCGCCCGTGAGCACCCGGATCTGAAACGGACGCTCCCTCCTGTGCAGGACACAAAAGGCGCAGGCGCCACGCGACTGCCACGGCAGCCAGGATGCCCCTGCAGGAAGCGGGGCGCTGGGGTTCCAGGAGTCAGCGTCACAGAGGCCGTGCACTGTCACTGGTTAACACACATCGCCACACCCTCGCCTTAGTTCATACGTGTTACTCCGCTTCACACACGGCAGAGGTGGCGGCGCTGTTCCCATCTCACAGGCGAAGACACGCACGGTGGAGAGTTGAAGTCTCCCGCGGACGAGGACCCGGCCCATGAGGGACGAGGTCCCGCTCGGGGGTCCACAGACGCCCCCCGCCGCACTGCCTGCCGGGTTTCTGCGGGCTCTGGCCGCGGCTCGGCCGTCAGCAAGACGCCCAACACGTGAGGGAGGAATCTGCTTCGACTTCCGGGCCTCGGTTCCGTCGGCCATGAAACGGCGGTGCACTCGCGTCCCCCGGCCACGTCCCGCCGTGGACTCGGCCTCTCCCCCCGACGACCGTCCCGTCCGGGACCGGCCGCCCGTGCACCAGGCTTGACTTCTCCCAGCCCCTCACCCCTCGTGGCTCCAGAACGGCCGCTGCAGCGTCCTCTGGGCCGTGGGCCCTCCACGGGCCACCCTCCGCGCGTCAGAGGATCCGTGTGGTTGGCGTGCCGAGTGCAGCTCCATCACGGGATGCGATACTGGTTTCACAACTAACCTGCTAAGTGGTCTGTTATCTTGCCACGTGTCTGAACTCAAAAGGAAACCCACCAAATCTTTTTTTAAAGATTTTATTTATTTATTCTTAGAGAGAGGGGAAGGGAGGGAGAATGAGAGGGAGAGAAACATCAACATGTGGTTGCCTCTTGTGCGCCCCCTGCTGGAGGCCTGCCTCGAAACCCAGGCACGTGTCCTGAGTGGGAATTGAACCGGCGACCCTCTGGTTCGCAGGCCGGCGCTCTGAGCCACAGAGCCACACCAGCCAGGGCGAAAACCAACAAATCTTAAATATGAATCCACAGGACAAGCTGTTGTAGACGGGCAGAGCCAAAAAGCCGCCCGTCCCTGTCCCCTCGACATGTCACACGGGCCTTTAACGTGGAGTCCGTGACACGGCATGACAGTTGCCAACGTGTGTGTGTTTTTCAGGGTGCGGCGAGAACAGCCCGAAGAGGGAAACTGAGTCTTAAATGCCTTCTGACCCCTGCGTGCAGCCCGGTGCTTAGCAACACAGTCAACACACAAAAATATTTGCCACAGCAAACTAAAAATATCTCGGTTTTGCTGCTCACAAATCCCCTCACATTTGTCTCCCAGGCAAGGCGGGTCACAAGCAAAGCCTCAGGGGCCTCGGGTGGGGGGGCGTGCACGCTGCGGCCAGAGCGGCCCCGCTGCTGTGAACACCGCGTCACCCGTTCACCGGGGACGGCGGGGGGACGGCCGCGGTAAGGAAGGTGCGTGAGAGAAGCCGTCGTGGGTGAGAGGGGGAGGAAGGTGCGAAAAGCTGGCCTGTGATTCACAAAAAGCCGTGACCTTCCATCTGAGGCACCGAGACAAGCGCCGGAGAAAAATGCACCGAAAGGAAGTGAAGCCGGCGAGAGCTCGAAACTGCCACTTGGTTCTCCCCCGTGACATAAACAGGGACGCATGGGACAGTAATGCGCGTCCGGACAGCGCCATCCGAGGAGAGCGCTTCCTGCCGCGTCCACGATTTAGCTCAGCCTCGGCCGCCCTGCCTCAGGCAGGCGTTTTTCGCGGCCCCACAAGGGACACACTCGCGAGCACTCGCGGTTCCCGCCTCCCCCCGTGCGGCCCTTCCCACCTGCTGGGTGCAGTTTTAATGAAGTTCAGAGGAAGCCAATGCTTTCTCTCAATGACTCACATGAGCGATTTCAGTCTGCAGAGGGTTTGAGTGATTTCGGGACGGTGCAGTTTTTCATCTGTGTCCTGGTGGGGACGCAGGCTGGGAAATGCGACCTTGAAAGGTCCTGGGCCGCTGGGCTCCCTGCTGCCTGTGGGCACCGAGAGTGGCGCTACCTCCCTGCCCTGCACCGAGCGGAGGAGGCCCAGGTGAGTGAGGACAGAGACAGCGCCGACTCGTTAAAAATACAATATTCGAGCCAAACTGTCCCACAGCCACCGAGTTATGAAGTCCTGGGCTTGGTGTCTCGAGGGTTATGGAGCTGCCCCTCACCTTGGACATGCGTGGACCAGCTGCCCATGGGGCACACACGTGTAAATCACATGCTAGGCATTCCCGGGTCATCGATAGAAGCAGGCGGGAGACGCTGACGGTGAACACAGGCCACGACCTCAGGGAGCTCAACCGCACACTCCTGCGGCAGCAGGAAGACCGTGCGGGCGGGCGGCCGTGCCCGCAGCTCCGCTGGAGCCCCGGTTTCCTCCCGGCCCTCACACCCCCGGTCGGCACACCCCCGCCCTCACACCCCCGCAGCGTTGTCGGTTCTCTCCCATCAGAATGTCTGGCCCCCAAGTGCACACGGGCAGCACCTGCTTTGTTCACAGTTCCCGTCTCAACCCAGGGCCTGGCACTGGCCCGAACACGGCAGGTAAACACGGTAGCCACCATCATCACCACCACCATCATCCCCGTCACCTCTACTTTAACGCTCCGTTCACACCACGTGTTGATGTTCGTGGCGCCTCCCCCGACTTTGGGGACGTTAACACTTAACTGCGTGGAGGTCAGATGAACGAACTCTCTGGCTCTTGCTGATCAGCTCAGCATTTTGGTGAGTTTCTTCAACTCTAAGCTGCCATTTTTCTACGTGAAATGGCGACGGTACAGTGCCTACCTCACACCTGCGTGCATCTGTATGTATATGTATGTGTGTATGTATGTGTCATGAGGCTGAGCAAGTTAACGCATTAAAGGCTTGAGCACGGCACCTGGCCCGGGTTCCTCTCTATTCCCCCCCCCAGGTGTGTCTGTCCATCCCGCCGACAGCGTCCCGCACAGGGATGTTGGCGAATGAACGTTTCTCAAAAGGATAAACACATAGACCAGAACAGACCAGAGCAGACTGTGCTCAGCCCTCGCTGACCCTCTAGAGTTAACGACCCTAATCCTGGCAGGGTGGTGGGGACCCACGTCCCAGACACGCAGGGCACAGAGCGCCACGCGGAGACCTGCCTGTGGCCCGGCAAAGCCCCGCATCCCACGGGCACACCTGCCCCGAACTGAGATTTAAAAGTAAAAATGGCCCTGGCTGGTGTGGCTCAGTGGATTGAGTGCCAGCCTGCGAAGCAAAGGGTCACTGGTTCAATTCCCAGTCGGGGCACATGCCTGGGTTGAGGGCCAGGTCCCCTGTGGGGGGAATGCAAGAGGCAACCACACATGGATGTTTCTCTCTCTCTCTTTCTCCCACCCTTCCCCCTGTCTAAAAATAAATAAATTAAATGTTTAAGAAACAGAAATAAAATAAAATAACAGAGAGAGGGAGACTGTTGTTTTTTCCAAGCACGGCCACGCCCCAGGCAGGGATTCCCGTGGAAAGAAGGCTATTCCCACGGTTTGGTGGCCTGTCCCCGGCCCACTCATCAATCAGAAGAGGCTACCGGGGGCGATGAAGGAGCGAGTCAGGGGTCAGGACACGACCGGACGGAGGCATTTGGCCCCTGGGACCTTCCACCCCGTCTCATCCCGCGCTGCTGGCAGCCCTGCTGGGTTTTGGTAGCTCCGCTGGGAAGCCGGCAACGACCAGTGGGAAAACGGCCCTGCAGCTGATGAAGACAGAAGTTGATGGTTTATTTTGAGGTCCGGAGGCGGACGGGTCAGCAGGCGTCCCCCCGGGAGCTTCACGGGGCCCTGGCAGGACAGGCCACTGCACTGGCCCATGTCACTCAGCTTTCGGTCCCAAGGACGGACTTGAGACTCGCTTCCCCCTTGCACTCCGCTGCACCTCACTAACTTGTTGTCTGTGATACGGAGGAAGGAGAAGCTGGAGAAGGAGGGAGGGAGGAAGAGTGCAATTCACTGAGACCTTCCTCCAAGGTCAACTAGTGCCGCTGTTCGAATTTGTAGGAGGGTCTGACCCGGGGTGACTTTCTTGTCTGAAGGGCGGAATTAGGTTTCAGACCACCCCTCCTTTCCCAGCCCAGTGTCTTGTACCAGCGTCTTGTGAGACTCAAGGTTATTTTCAAGGTTTTACTTATTGATTCACGCATTTGTCTCTCTGTTCGTCCTCTGAGACTCCAACAAAGCCACCGCTGTGCGTCCGGCACTGTAGGGAGGGGGCGTGTTTCCCAAGGTCAAGGAGACCTTGCTCCTGACCTCACGTGGCTTCTGCCACCTTCTAGGGAAGACAGGTGCTCCTCAATCCGCGGCTGCGGCGCGGAGGGGCCCTCCCCCGAAGGTGGCACGCCACAACTCCGGGTGTGCAGCAGAGTGTCCGACCTCGGGCCGGATGGGGCACTTCTCTGCGTCTTCTCTGCTAAGATAGCGAGGCTGACACTATCCGCTGTGCGGGGTCAGCAGGAGAACGAAGTTGGATCTGAGGACCGGCGGGCATGAAGGGGCAGGTGTGAGCCAGGAGGAAGACGGGAAGGGTCTGCGAGAGGTCGAAGGCCGAGGGTCAGCTGCCCGGGCTGCTGCCGGGGTGTGTGAGGGGGCTGGGCCCCGGGGGCCGGGGGCGTGGGCGTGGGTCTGGATCCCAGAGCCGCCGCTCCCGCCGCCCAGCTCCTCAGGTGTCCTTCCCAGGCTAACAGAGAGGCCCACATCTTCCAAAGGCATTTTCCAGAAATTCCGAAGGAGCGGTCAAGGGCCCTGCCTGTGTTGCTGGGTGTTCTTAGCCGGTCCCTTCCCTCCCTCCCGGGGAGCACGGTGGTCTGCCCAGGGGCACTCAGAGTCCAGAGCCACCGCACTCGGGGTGGTTCCTGGTTGGGAGGAGCCCAGTTAGGGGCTTGGGCTCCAGGTGGGGACATGGTCCAGGGACCGGT